CCGGGGCAAAACTCACGTAGGTGTTTCACTTAACAAGATAAATTTTAGGCTCCGTTTTGGTTATAAATCGAGGACTGTATACAGAACAGCAATCCATTTGATCATGGATTTTGAAAAACATTTCATCTGGGTAAAATTGAAGGTAACTGGCTATCTAAACAGATTAATGTTTTAGCTCGACGTAAGCAACCTTCTAAGAATTTTACATTTAAGAAGCTATTACGGGGAGTTTGTACTAAAGCTAAGTCATACAATGGAACCTCGGATTTTTCCTGAAATTTGTCACGTTTTCTTCTTCGGCTGGATGTATGCAGATGTGGCTTAGGTAAGAAATTTTATGCGCATCAAAAGTCACGCTCTATGTCTCCAGTCCTTGAGACTAAAAAGGTTTGCCTTTTTCATAAATAAATAATTCCCATATTCTCCAAGGCTCGGAATTGGGGGTGTGGGTTTGGTTAGGTGTCATGTACAGGTAATTTAATGCGAAAGATTGAAAGGCAGAAGAGAACATTACCAGCAAAACAAATTATTAATCAACTCCCTCATCCAGTGGCCTACTTTAGAGTCAAGTTTTTGAAATCCCAGGCTAATTTTCCTTTGCTTTCCCCAGCCTTCTCACCAGAAGAACAATAATCAATTTAACAACTTTAAATCCCAATGCTGCTTGGCCTTGGTTAAGAAGTAGCCTGTCTTTTCCAAATTATTCTTTTACAGCATAATGGTCCCTTGTTCACCTTCTACAAATACATTAAGGGAGATAATTAACATGGAGCCCTTCAGGACTGATTTTCAAATAACCTTCTGTAGCAACCTCTAAAATGTATATCCACCTACTTGCTTCCTTCTACGTATACTGAACTCCCATTAGAACCAAGGTAATGATTTCAGCTGGGGCGTGGGGGGAGACTAGTTTAAAACTAGCCCTACTTTTGTACTTTTCCCAAATCAGTAATAATACTGAACTCATGCTGTTTACATAGGAAAGCTAATTCTTGGTCCTGTTTCCATTTTGATTGCGAGGGTTTCAACTTCAAAGGATGCTCCCTAAGTAAAAGATGTCTGACTCTAGGGGGGCGACGCTCATCTCCATTTCCTAGCTGAGGGAAGCGGTGTTGTCTGAAGACAATTTCCATGGTCATCTGGCCAACATGGCTATGTGCCACAAGCCACAAGAACAGGTTTGTTTGATCTTCGAAACAATATCTTCCATATTGCTCATTCCCCTATTACCTGATTAAGCAGAAACTCATTATTTTAACTCTGGAGCAGATTACGATAACTTAAGAGTGCCTCAAAGACTAACCAGAGAGGAAACAAACATCAAAATAACAATGAGGATATGGCAGAAAAGAAGAAGTTGCTAAAATATATTTGACCTCTGGTAAGCTGCAAATAAGAAAAAGCCTGGAGCTGGCTGGTTTGCCACAAGCAGCTTTGTTTTCTAGTGCACTAGTGAAACTAGTGTGTTGCAATTATATTTCTGTCACCATTTCTTTTTGTGATGATCCGGGTAAGATTTATAATCAACACTAGAAAATAGCAAAGACTAGTTCGATATTACAGAGCTGAAAAAGTGCAGAAAAAAGCAACCAGAACTATGAAAACGTTGGAGCAGTCTTATAAGCTACAATGCTTGCAAGGGGAAAAAAAAACAGAACTGCACAAATACTCAGGAGCACCCATCTGATATGAGGCTGAAAATTCCCAGTCCTAGAATGTATGGAACTTGGACTAATGTCTAATATTATTACAGATGTTAAAGAACAACCACTATTTATCCCACGTTCTCTGAGTAGGGAGACAAAAATGCTAAATCCAGTCTAAATATTTAACTATGTAATCAACCACAATAAATAATTAAAATTATATGCTGCTCAATTCTCAGGTGGGGGTTCTTAATTTCTTCTTTTTTTCCCTAAATGACATTTTAATATTATGCTCTCCTTTTTCAGAAAAAAAAACCCTAGCCAATATGCTAAATTAGACTTTTTTAATTACATGATTATCCTGCGTTTCCTTCAAGGAGCTTAAAAATGGTACGCTGTTGTTAACCTGTCCACGGGGCTAACATACATTTTGCTTGTTTCAGCAGGAAAATGCCTACTGACTCTTTATAGAGGACATGTCCTCCTCCTCACAACTACTTCCATCTCAGTGCTAGCTCACTGCTGAGGCAGGCTGGAGCAGATTTTAGCAAGACAGCAGCATTTTTCCTGGTATTGCAGCCCAAAACATTCAGTGGACGTTCTAGATACAATTGAGACCAATGGTGGGCAACTATGGCTGCTTTATGACCTTGGGCCTTCAACTCCCAGAATTCCTGAGCGCAGCTGGCTCAGGAACTCTGGGAGTTGAAGTCCATAGGTCATAAAGGGGCCATAGTCGCCCACTCCTGTTCTAGACCAGCTGTCCTTTGCAGGTTAGTGATAAGCAGAATCCCAACAGGTTGACCGTCTTCTTCTGCTGGGCCATTTATCTTGTTCAGTTGCTGGATAGTTGTTTCATCGGCAACAAAAACAGCCACCTTCCTTGTGCAGCTACTTTCTTCTTCTTCTTTTTTTGAAGAAGGAAACATCAACCTCATGTATGGTCAAATGCTGGTTGAAAGTCAATATTCCCAGTGGTAGGGAAAATACAGCTATCTGTATCTCTGATCCTCTGCATTAATTAGGCTTTTCTTGAATTTAGAAAGCAATGGCTGTTTGGTGTGCCTTCCTGTTTATAATATTTCACCCAACCTTATTTGACTGAGCCCTTATTTTAAGGCCAACGGTTTTTGGAAACAGTAAAACAAACACTCAACGAGCGCCAGTGAATTTGATTTTCGAGCAGTGGAAAGTTTGGAAATCAGCCAAGAGAAAGCCTAGAGAGGCAATTCAGGGCCAACGTAAGGAAAGGAAGCACCAAGAGCCAATCTCCATATAACTTGGCATCTGCTTTGCAAACTAAGGGCTATGCTTGCCTTGGGAATATCATAGACTTCCAGGAGATTAAGAGATCAGCGTTCTTGTGGCTAAATAAATAAATAAATACCCGGAGGTCCCCAAAGTAAAAAAAAAATAAAATGTTGACCAAATGAACTATGAACTTGATTTTAAAAAAAAAAAAAAACTACCCTGAACTGATCAGAAAATATTCCGGTTAATTGGCTGATAGAACTCAAGAAGCACCGTGGATGAATTGGCAGGGAGTAGCCACCAATCTTGGGGGGAATGATTGGTGGCTGATTTTCCTGCCAGAGGAATTGCTGGATGGAGCAGAATGGATCGCAGAGAAGCTGTCCACGAAACTGCCTTACCCTACTAGTTAGTACCGTATGAATGTTTGACTGGCCTAGTTTTGAAGCATGGTAAAGTTAACCTTAAGGGCCCAGTGGTTGACAGGATAATGTCTAACGTGGCTATGAGGACAGGCCCCCATCCACATAGCCTTGGCTTGTCAGTCCTGCAAGGCTGAATGAAGGCGAGTTCTCCAAGGTCACCTTGTGATCTTTGGAGTTGAAAAGGCTTTGGGACCTGGCTTTCCACTGGTCACAATATGCAAAGAAGAGCGACCAAGATGATTAGGGGGCTGGAGGCTAAAACATACGAGGAATTGTTGCAGGAATTGAGTTTGTCTAGTCTAGCGAAAAGAAGGACCAGGGATGACATAATAGCAGCGTCTCAGTATTTGAGGGGATCAACCTATTTTCCAAGGCACCAGATGGCAAGGCAAGAAACAATGGATGGAAACTAATCAAGAAGAGAAGCAACCTAGAGCTAAGGGCATATTTCCTAATAGTGAGAAAAATTAACCCGTGGAATGGTGGTGTGGTCTGCGGGCAGCCTGCGGAGCTGGCAGCTGAGTCGGACAGTGGGGAGGAACATGGGCCAGTCCTGCAGTCTGGGGAGGGCTTGGACGAGGGATCTGAGTCCGACACAGAGATGGGGGCCAGGGCCATCTGAGAGTTATGTGCTGATTCTGTAGCCTCCAGAATCTGACATCAGCAAGGCAGAAGAACAGGGGGAGCCTGTTCCCAGTGTGCACATGCACAGAGGTGCCAGAAGACAAGAACAGTTAAGACAAAAGGGGCGACTCAGGAGTAAGGCTTGGAGATGATTGGCCCCTCCCATAAGACATAAAGGAGAACAAAGGGACATGAGCCTTTGCAGGAAGCAACTTTGTTCGTTCTGGTTGGTTTAAAATCTGAAGCTCCATGTTGACTTTGTGCTGCATTTGGCCTTGTACAGCTAACTGGCAATTTAGTCGTTGGCAGCATTTCAAGGGAGATAAAGGTGGGTGCTTATCAGCCTTATCCTGAAAGACTGGCAGACTTTTGTTGGACTATTCACAAACTGTGTGGGATTCATTACGGGATGTGAATGCATATAATTCACAGCCATTGAAATAAAAAAAAAAGGTTTTGGGGAACAGTGTGTGATTGTTACTGTGTCTTAGGAAGCCTTGGTCAGAACAAAGGGCTTGCCTTCAGAAGATGTTGTACTCCATCACTGGAGGCTTCCAAGAAGAGGCTAGACAGCCATTTGTCTGGAATGGTATAGAGCAGGGGTGTCAAACTGGATTTCTTCGAGGGCCGGATCAGCATTGTAGTTCTCCATGGGCTGGCAGAGAAGGGGGAAATGGGACATAGGCCTCCTGCAGCATCCTGCCAGCCAAAATAGGGCACAGGGGGCCCATGACAGCCCCCCCGTGCCCCATTTTTGGCCTGGATGGCCTCCTGCAGCACCCTGCCAGCCAAAATGGGGAGCGGGGGGCTGTACACAGACCCCGTGCACCCTGTTTTGGCCAGCAGAGGCACTACGGGCTTGTCCTTTGGTATTTCCAGGCAGGGCAAATCTAAGTACTTTGTGAGCTGGATCTGGCCCACGAGCCTTGAGTTTGACACCCCTGATATAGTCTCCTGCTTGAGCAGGGGGCTGGACTAGAAGACCTTAAAGGTCCCTACAAATTCTTCTTTCTTATTATGAGAGCGAGACTGCAGGCAAATGGAGGATACTCACCATCACAGTCAAAAAGAGCAAACACAACATCACATACATGGTCTGATAGTTCCACCTTTGCCACAGTCTTGGCTACTTGTTGCATCGTATCTGCAAGAATGGAAACAAATTGCAAGTCATATGTCAACATTTTGTGGGAAATGAAAGACTTAACATAAATGTACTCAAGTCTGCAATCATTGTTTCTTTTTTTCCTGATGAGCAAAGTCAAAATAGGATTTCCCCACTCTATTATCTACCGATCCCCAATTTTAACATGAAGCAACCAGCCCTTTAGTTTAGTTTAATTTACTTTATTGTCACTGCACCTCGTATAATGAAATCAAACACCATCTTCAGTGCACACCATGACCATGAAAATAAACACTAACACACATCCTTCACACTCCACACATTGAACCAAAAACCGTGACACTGCACCAACACTGCACTATACAGCAGAATTCAAAAGAGCTACTGTCCTGGGATAGAAGCTGTTTTTCAGCCTATTTGTCCTTGTTTTTATTATTCTGCCAGATGGCAATAGTTAAAAAAAAAAGTGTTCCCAGGATGAGATGGATCTTTGAGAATATTTTGAACTTTCTTAAGGCAGCGGGAGCTATAAAGCTCTTCCAAAGAGGGGAGAGGGCAACCCATGATCTTCTGGGCAATGACGTTAACCCTCTGGAGTGCTTTCCTATCTGCCCCTGTGCAATTGGCAAACCATGCAGAGGTGCAGTAAGTTAAAATACTCTCTATGGTGCAGTGGTAGAAGGTTACCAGCAGTTTTCCATTTAGTTGTTGTTTTCTGAGAAGTCTCAGGTCGTATAATCTCTGCTGAGCACCCCAGGTCAGGTCCTCTTTTATGGTAACACCCAGAAACTTAAAACTGGCCACTTGCTCCACTCGGTCTCCATTGACAAGCAAAGGCTGGATGTCTGATCTGTTCCTTCTATAGCCCACTATAAGCTCCTTGGTCTTGTTGGTGTTGAGGACCAAGTTATTGTCTCCACACCACGAAAGCAACCAGTCCACTTTTCAAGCAAAGTGCTTGAAAGTGGGTGAGGAAAGCTGTGTGAGGGAAACTAAGGTTCACAATGAACAAAGGCTTGCGACAAAAGTAAAAAGATAACAAAAAAAGCTTCTTCCAACATGTTAAAAACAAGAAAAAAAAGTTAAGTCAATTGCTGGGAGAAAATGGCAAGAAGATGACAAGCAACAGGGAGAAAGCAGAACTACTTATAACTCATTTTTTTTGCATCCGTCTTTACACAAAGGGAAAAAAACAGTCCAACCTATCAAAAGCAGCACCACAAAAAACAGATTAGAACCACAAATCAAAATAAAGAAGAAAATGATAAGTGAGAACTTGACCACCCTAGACGAGTTCAAATCCCCAGGACCGGATGGATTACCACCCAAAGGTTTTGAAGGAACTGGCAGACCAGATCTCAGAACCACTGAACTATATTTTTTTTCTTTTTGTTTTTAATTAAATTTTATTGAGTTTTCAAAATTTAAAAACATAAAATAAAACTTTATACATCATTATAGCAATATCAAGACATCTTTTACATTTCCTTCTCATCTTTCAGCATACACATTTCTTTCATTATACAATTTCAACTTAATATATAAATAAATATATAGATATGAATATAGATATAAGAATTTACATAGTTTCTTATTCTTTATCTAATTGCCATTTTGATTTCTTTTTATTCTTAAACCATTCATACCAGGAATCCCAGACATTATAATATATTGACTCTTCTTTGTCTCTTAATTTCATTGTTAGTCTGTCTATCTCTGCACAATCTAAAATTTTTTTTTATAACAACATCTTCTGGTGGTACATACATTTTCCTGCTTCCAGAATTGTGCATAGGAAATCCTAGCAGCTGAACTATATTTTTCAAAGATCCTGGAGCACTGGGGAACTGCCAGGGGACTGGAAAAGAGTTGATGTAGTTCCCATTTTCAAAAAAGGGGGGAAAATATATATCCAGAACTAGAAGGTCTCTGAGGTCCCTTCCAATTCTGTTATTCTAGTCTATTCATGCTAAATGCACTTGCTAAATGAAAGGATGAAAAGCGCTGAAGTCAATTTGCAATTTCTCATCTAACTGCACCGCTGAAGCCAATCATATCAGATGCAGCTGTTTGTTCTCCTGATGGGTGTTTGACTGCAATTAATTTGACGTAGTTAGTGGAGAAGCTGAGCAGCAGCAGAGAGAGAGTGAGAGGGTGGAGTGCTAGGTTAAATCCTTGCAGGAAGATGGTTGGGTCCTAAGAGCACAGTACTTGTGAACAGCCTTTATCGGTGTCACTTGGATCAAGGGGAGTACGTCTGTGCTTCTCGCATAAACGCAGCTTTTTGAAGAATGGTTACCCAGGAAATGATCCCGGTGGATTCTGTCATATGATAACACATACAAATCCTCCTAGGACTCTTTAATTTATCATTTCCATAGATAACAAGGTTATACTCTAGGTAGCCCAGAAAGGGCTGTATGCTGTAATTTGTACCAAGATCTGAAAACTGATGAGAGTTATTTATGCAACTTAGGAACTCCGGATTTTTCTCTACAGCACAGAGCTTGGAATCCATGAAATCTGACAGAGCAGGGAGAGTTTGCTGGTGTCACGCCCCTGGGGGAGTCTGACTCTGAGGGAGAGGAGGAACAGCTGACAGGGAGTGGAAGGGTGGCTCTGGAGGTTGTGGAGGAGGCTGAGCAGTCAGAGGAGGACCCAGGCCCATCCCCTATCCATCCTAGGGCACGCAGGGAGGAGAGGATAAGGGAGAGACGTGATCCCCTTCATGGGCTGCAAGTGTGACAACTGAATAAGAGTTTAGACCTGCGTACTGGCAAACGCTGGAAACAAATTGTGTAAATATCTCTAGTTTATAGTTCCTCTCTGAGTTTGGCATCCTTCCCAGTGTGTGTTATATGTGGACATCCTCCAGCCTTTATCTTGCCTGGTTTGTGTTGCTTTTTTCCTTCTTCGTGTAACTGTGTGGGAGGTTTTTTTGTCTTCCGTCAAAGATATTCAGTGCTTGCTCGGAGGCACCAAGACGGCGAGCACAGCAGGGATCACGGAGAGACGCGAATCCCTGCTGTCGCCGAAGCCTGGCAACCCGGAAAGATTCAGTGCTTGGAAGCAAACTGAAGGAATAAAAGGGGCTTTACCTGTTTTCTATGACTGTGTTTGTTTTGTATCCCTCCCTGGGTCATCACAGCTGGGCTCTCCCCCACCCCTTTTATTGCAGGGATGAGGGAATCAATTAAGAGCATTCAGGAATAATAACAAACAGAACAGCAGAGTTGGAAGGGACCTTGGAGGTCTTCTAGTCCAACCCCCTGTTCAAGCAAGAGACCTTATACGAGGGGTGTGTCCAATCTTGGAACTCCAAGATTTGTGGATTTCAATTCCCAGAATTCCCCAGCCAGACAAGTTCCCAAGATTGGACACCCTTTCCCTATAGCAGTGATAGTTAACCTTTTTGGCACCAAGTGCCCAAAACACATGCGCAAACCTCCAAAATGCAATTCGTGTGCATCCCCTGCACATGTGCCCTTCCCCCATGCATGCATGTGTGTCCCCCAAACGAATGCATGTGTTTGGGGAAGAGAAAGAAAGACTTCTGCTGCTTTCCTTGCATGAAGCCAAAAGTCTCTCTCCCCCCAGCCTCAAGAACGGAGCTGGAAATGGTACCCTGTGATCCCAAATGATCGGTAGGAAAATGGGGTGGGGAATTTTCCTGCAGACTTTTGGGGGGAATTTTCTCAGGGTCTCTGGTCCACAGGATTTAAAATTATGAGTCTGGTGGTTCCTGAGGTCCAAAAGGTTGGCGATCCCTGTTCTAGTCGAACCCCCTGCTGAAGCAGGAGACCATATACTATTTCTGACAAGTGGCTGGCCAGTGTTTTCTTAAAAACCTCCAGTGATGAAGCACCCACAATTTCTGAAGGCAAGCTGTCCCACTGACTAAATTTTAGGAAGTTTCTCCTTAGTTCCAGGTTGCTACTCTCCTTGATTAGTTTCCATCCATTGTTTCTTGCTTGCCCTCTGATGCTTTGGAAAATAAGTTGACCTCTTCTTCTTTGTGGCAGCCCTTCAAATATTGGAATACTGCTATCATGTCATCCCTTGTCCTTCTTTTCTCTAGTTTAGCCACACCCAACTCCTGCAAGGCTTCTTCATATGTTTTAGTCTCCAGGCTTTTAATCACCATAGTTGCTCTTCTCTGCAGCTTTCCAAAGTCTCAACATCCTTTTCGGAATGTGGTAACAAAAACTGGATGCAGCATCCAGGTATGGTCTTACTAAGATTTTATAAAGTGGTACTAATAATTCATCTCTCTGTTTATACAACCAAGGACCATATTAGCTTTTTTGGCGGCGGCTGCACATTGCTGGCTCATATTTAAGTGATTGTCCACTAAGTGTCTTAGTAATCAAGTAAAAGGCCTGGGACTCTTCTATTGTTTTTTACTCCAGACCATAGAGAAAGCTGTTCCTTCCTTCAGCTTCATGGACATTAGCTTACTTAGGACATAAACAATTAATGGAAATACTTTGCCTATTCAGAGCACTAAATCTAGCAAATTTAGACTTTTAAATACATAGTCTAATCCTAGTAGTTTTGTTTTGGCATCTATTTTCAGTGCTAATGGGTATGTTATTCTTTTGTGCTGCCTTTAAATTGTTCAACATCACATTTTCTAAAGGTCATTGCCAAACTAATTAGTAGCCATACATAATATATATAAGAAACTATAAGCACAGAGTGTCAAGATCCACTTATAATGATGTCATACTATATATGTATGTATGTATGTATGTATGTATGTATGGCATTCAGCTTCCTTCGGGTATTTTCCCACGTCATTGTAGTTGTGCTTTCAAAGTTGTAGCAACGTTTCGGCAGAATCTCATCTGCCATCATCAGGCTTCTGATGGCAGATGAGATTCTGCCGAAATGTTGCTACAACTTTAAAAGCACAATTACAATGACATGGGAAAATACCCGAACGAAGCTGAATGCCATACATGTAAGTACCCGCGAAAACTTAAGAAAATATATATATGGAAATACATATAATAATA